TATACTCATCAAACAAGAGAGTAGCAAAATACATGAGGCAAACTCTGATAGAACTGCAAAAAAGAACAGATGAGCCCAACACTAGAGGATTTGTGGCGACTTCAACACCCATCTACCCAGAATGAACAGATCAGCTGGAAGAAAGTAAGGACACAGATGGCCTCCACAGTCAGTTCAAATATGCAAACTGGACCAAACCGACATCTCTAGAATACGTCAAAGCAAAATATGGATTATTGTAAGCACAAACTCATCAAGAAAGATGACTTTTTGTGCCATAACATGTACACTAATAAAATTTAAAGAATAAAAATGATAAAATATGTGCTCTAAAATCACAATGTATTTTTTAAAGTAAAATAGTCTTTTAGGAAGAAAAAACATAACTGAGAAGAAATAAAATAAAATAAAATAATGTTAGAAATACAGGAAGATGAGAGAAGTTAATATAAAAGTTTTCAAATTTTTCAGAAAACACAATGCATTTAAAGTATAACCACAGAAGGAAGGTGGAAGGAAACTCACACACTCTTGGAGACTAAACAGTACGTTTCTAAATAGCACCCAGGTCAATGGAGAGGGCGGAACAATGAGAAGGGAAAAAAAACCTTTAACTGACATAAAAATATGGTGGAAAACTAGACTCTTTCCCACTAAAATCAGGAGCCATGCAATAATGCCCTCTTAGACCATTCTGACCAATGATACCGGAGGGTCTCTAAAGTTGAGGAAATGGAAAGTGTATATGATACAAACTAGGAAGGAAGAAACAAAGTTATTGGTTAAGAAGCAATAGGAAAAGAAAGTTGGGGATATGGTTTAGTTGGTAAAGTGTTTGCTGAGCATCCATGATGATCTATCTGAATTTCATCTTCCAGAACTCACTTTTTAAAACCAAAGGAGTTAGAGGTGCATGATATCCCTTGGCCTAGCACTGATGGGGATTTAGAAATGAAGGTAAATTGCAATGGTAGAGTGAGCACACGGTGTGAACCCTAATATTCCACAGTGGGAAGGCCCAGAAGACACACCCTTCACTAATCCTATAAGACACAAAAGAGTGAGGGGCACCAGCACAGATGAAGAGTTTTATTGTCACCATTTTCTTTTTGCCAGACCTTAGAGTGGAAGATGCTTCTGCTCAATCGGATGAATTAAATGCAATGGTTTAACTGACCCCCGACGTAGCAGGGGCCAGGTGGCAGCCCTGAATTACCAAAAGCAAGGTGATCATAGTTATTGTAATGGGAAGCACAGACAGAGTAATGGCCATGAAAGCCTAACCTATAGTGGTCAGCACAGGGAAGGTGAATTTTGTAGGGGCATGACTTGTATAAACTTGTGGTGCTAGCTAATCAATCATAGTGTTTCCAGACATGAAATAGATAGGAAGCCTACTGAATTTTTGTTTGATCTGTACAAACAACAGGAGCTAAGGAAGAAGTAGAGTCCAGTCCTAAAGAGCAAGGGGAATCAGGTCTCTCAGTCAAGCATCACTGGTGAGGAGGATGGACAGGCCGGTGGGAGAAAGGGAGGATTTATGGAGTTGGAGGAAGGTCAAGGAAGACCATGCCCCACCCAGGCCAGTTTACCCCTCAGGGAACCACCCCCACCGCCCACATCTGTCAGAGCCAGTGTCAGGTAAGCCTTACTGCCTAGTAGAACCACCCAGGGGGTCTGTGAATGAGCAGACTAGAGGACATACAAAGCCCCTTAGTCCATGGGTGCTCTGGATTCCAGGGAGACAGAAGCAGAAGACACTTCAGTGCAGGACAAGCCTGTCACATGAAAGCCCTTCAGCAGGGGTCAGTGACACAAGAACATGCTCCCCTGGACTATGTCACTCAGGACTGTGTTAGAGGATGGGGGTGCAAACAAACAAACTCACACCTTTTTATATAAGGTTTCATATTTAATTTGGTCATGAATTCATAATACATAAGTATTTTGTACCTAATGGCATGCCTTGTTTTGCTTTGTTACCAACACATTGCCAAAGGAGACAAAGAAAGGGCATCAGATGTGAGGGTGGCACACACACCTACTGTTGAGGCTGGGGCTGGTTATAGAGCCCAGCTAGCCCTGATGTACAATGTCAGCATAAAAACACTAATGCAGAGACTACTCAGAAGTGGGGGTCTCCCTCCTGAAGCCACAGCAACAAGACACTACAGCATGCCTGGGAACAGCCACCCCCAGGCGCTGTCCTGCTGTGTGACTGGAGTCTGTTGTAGGAGGTTTTGCCAGAAGGAGGGATGAAATAATGAGGAACTAAGGAGGGTGTTCAGCGGTTTGTATCACTCGCTCTTGCAGAAGACCTGGGCTTGATTCCAAGCACCTACATAGTGTGGTCAAAACCGTCTGTAACTCCAGTTCAAGGTGATCAGATGCCGCCATCTGAGCTATGCGGGCACCAGCCATGCATATCATGCACATATATGCAGGAAAACACTCACAAAATAAATAAAAATAAAAACTCACAATATTAAAATAACAAAAATAGGTGAGGGCCAGGAATGGTGGCATACCCGTTTGATCCCAGAACTTGGAAGGCAGCTGTGGCCAGACCTCTGAGTTGAAGGCCATCCTGGTGTACACAGTGAGTTCAAGGTCAGCTAAGGCTACGTACAGATTTAGACTCTGTCTCAAAAACAAGTTAGTTTTGTAAAACAGAATAGGAATCCATACAGGACAAAAATCGGAATGTGCCAGTTCTCCAGAGATCCCTATCACAGTGTTTTAAAAATAGTGACTTATGGATATGGTGATGAACCTATCCATTTGTAATTCCAGCTCCGAGGAGGCTGAGGCAGGGCAGTTGTGAAGGAAGGCAGCCAGGGATTCATAGCCAAGACCCAGACTCAAAACTAAAACCCAAAGAACTGGCATTTCAGTGTTTACTACTGTACAGTGGTCCTCAAGGATGGGTTTCTGTGCTCCAATGTGCCCCAGGGCTAGATTCACTAGAACTGAGAATTCGTATGTTACTAGTATTTCACATTCATACGGACCATCCCTGAGGGCATGTCTCTGCTCCCTTCTCCCTTGATACCAGGAAGGACTCAGAGTCACTAACCTTAATGCAGACGAGCTGATTGGGCACCTCTAGCCTAACCTATCTCCCATCTCCTCACCCTGGCCGTAGATGGGGAAATCCAAATAAGAACCAACAGTATAGCATACTAAAAGGACACTCGTGAAATTGGCTCGCATGCCTAGGACCACAGAATCGTGTAGCTTTTCAGTCCAAGATCTCCCAAACCAAGGTTGACAGTCCGAGACTCCTTGGAGTGTCGCCGAGTCCACGTGGAAAGGTCAAAGAGGCTGGAGAAGGGTGTCCACTGGTGATGGTGGCAGCAGCGACAAATTGTGAAGAATGGAGCTTGCGAACACTGGCCGGCTACCTTCTCCTCCCTTTCATTCCGTTCATGCCCCTAGCCTGTGGAATGGTGCTACTCAATCTATGGCAAGCCCTTCTATCTCAGTTGCCCTTCTACATGTCAACCCTCTGGAAAGGCCCTTACAAACAAACCCAGTGTGGGCACTACCATCTCCTAGGCACCTCTCCATTTGGATTTCAAAAATTACGTTTGTTTGTTTGTTTGTTTGTTTATTTATTTATTTAGTGTGTGTGTGTGCGTGTGTGTGTATGGATGTGTACGTGCGTGTGTGTGTGCATACGTGCGTGTGTGTATGTGTGTGTGTGTACGTGCGTGTGTGTGCATTCGTGAGTGAGCGTATGTGTGTGTGTGTATGTGTGTGAGTGTGCGTGCGTGTATGTGCGTGTGTGTGTATGTGTGTGCGTGCGTGTATGGTGTGTGTGTGTGTCTGTGTGTGTGTGTCTGTGTGTGTGTGTGTCTGTGTGTGCGTGTGTGTGTATGTGTGTGTGTGTGCCTCCTCATGCCACATCATGAGCCAGAAGATAACTGGTAGGAATCCTTCCTCGCCTTCCATCATGTGGTTCCTGGGATAGAACTTAAGTCATCAGGCTCAGTGGCAAGCACCTTTATCTGCTGAGTCATCTCCCTGGCCCAGCACCTCTCAATCTAATGAAGATCATGGACCAGCCATTTCCATCAGTGTGGATACAGTTCCCAAGTCTCTGCCCTTGGTGACACCTACCTGTAAACATGTAAGTATTTATATATACTTATATAGTTTTCTGGTACCCAGAATGATAAGACAAAAACAAACAGAAGTATAAAGTTGTAAAGATTAAAAGATCCAGTTATACACACCTAGACAGATTACGTATATGTAACGAAGGGCTGGAACCCAAACTAAGGAGAATCCAGGCCATGAGACCAAACAAAAGTTGCTTCTCGGGGATCCCAGAGGCACTTGGAGCCAGGATGTGGCAGAAAAGGGAGTGAGGATTGGGTCACCCCAGATAATGCTTTTTATGTTCCCTATGTGTCCAAACCAGCAAACTCAACTTGAGGAAGCGAGAAATCTGGACGCCTGGGAGTTAGAAGTTCAAGAGAGGAGCCAAGGCAGCCAGGATGCTGGAAATGCATTTTAGTGTTCAGATGCTTGCCTCCTGTTCATGTGGTTCTGGGTCTAGCTTCCAGTATGATATGATATTATAGGATATAATAAATACAGAAAAATAAAATTAAATTAAATTAAAATAAAATTAATCCCAGTAACCTTAGGCCTGATACATCTTCTTGTTCTTTTCAGACAGGTTTCCACTCCATCCTGGCTGTTCTGAGTTCACCATATAGACCACTTGAAGTCATAGAGATTCTCCTGCCTCTGTCTCCTCAGTGCTGGAGTGTCATCTTGCCTGGCTCCGCTGTAGCTTTTTGATAAATGAACTTTCCAGATTTCACTACGTTGTCTTTGATTGTGTCCAGGGCATTCCTCTCTTCCACAGCTTTCAAGGCATCCAGAGATTGTTGATGGAAGCACTCTGACCTATCTGCGTGAGCCTCTTCAGCAGAATTTGATGCAAAGCTTCTCCTGGTGCCTGGGTTTTAGCCCTGATCACTGGAATCTCATTGTCTGTGAGGTCCATCTGACACAGCAGGCTGTCCTAGAAGATAATGGGCACAAGGGTCCAACAGAAATGGAAGATTAGCTTCAGGGATGGATGTCAGAAAACATGGGGAACAGGTAAACTGCAAGCCCCTTATAGACGGTGGAGGATCCTAAATCAGATCTAGAAGCCCAAGGGTAGGGCCTAATAGGCTCTCTTGCCAATACATGAATGCTGTTGGAGCCTTACCACACCCAAAGCCAACCAAGAAGCTGGGTGCTTGAGAGATGGCTCAGCTGTTAAGAGTACTGACTGCTGTACCAGAGGACTTGGGTTTGATTCCCAATACCCACATGATGCCTCACAACCATCTGCAGCTATGGTTTCAGGAAATCTGACACATCTTCTGCCTCTTCAAGGTACTACGCATGTAAGCAGTGCCCACACATACATGCAGGCAAAACACCCATATATACAAAGTGAATTTTTTAAAGTTTTTTTTTAAGTATACCTTAAAAGAAGGAATCACTTGCCAAAATGCCCAGTGGCAAAGGTGCATAGATGTGTGGGTGTGCACGTGTGTGCATGCATGTGTGTGTGTGAAGGGTAGTACCATGTGGCATGTGTCACAGAGGGACACAGTGGAGTGGGTGCATAGCATCTCCTGGAATGGAGGTTGTTTAGGCTGTATTCATGGTGAATGGGGTAGAGGGCAACCCTGTCTGCCTCAGCAGAAAGAACAGAGCAGAGAGGCGGAGGACCTTTCCGTGCAAGCTGGCCTCCCTCACTGCTGCATCACTGCTACTAGATGGTTGGAAAGGATGACTGAAAACTCAAACCTGTAGCTGAGTACTGGAAACTCCCTTCTGGGGCTGGGATGATGTAACTGAAGTATGTATGCCATGTGTCACCCTCTATCCTGAGAAACAGAAGGAGCAGGAACAGGAGTTCCACTAGCTCCAGGAGTCACAAGGACATATTCTAACAGCCTTATTTAACCAATGACAGGAGGCTTAGAGGTGTAGCTTATCTGGAAGAGTAGAGTATTTACCCAGTATACTCAAACCCTGGCTTCGGTCTCACGCATTACAGTGCTGAGTGTGGGGGCTGAGAGAGCCCACTGGTTGAAGGTTCACACTGCTCGTGCAGAGGACCTAAATTCTGTTCCCAGAGCCCATGGAAAACTAGCCTACTTACTAACTAACTAACGAAATATGAAAGGAAACAAGTGCCATTTGATTCGACTCAATACATATAAAATTCATCAACTCGTGTAGTTGATATCTGAAACATGATTCATGAGATGGCTTCCATTAGTTTTGCATGATGTCTCTGAAGTCAGGTTTGTGATTTGTAGTAAAGCTCATCAAACCAAGTCTGGTCCTGCAAAGAGCTTCTACTCTAAGGACCATGGATATTAACACAGGGCAGTGCACCATTCTGGAGGACCTAGTGGGGGCAGAGGTTGTGACTACAAGAGAGAAGGGAGGGATGATGGGACAGCAGAAGGACAAACAGATTCTATCAATACCATATGAGGTACTGGTCCCAGAGGAGACAGAAGGGAGGAGAGGGGGATTAGTGGCCCCTAAGTCCAGTGGCAACAGTTTAGGGTTTGCACCCATCATTAGTTATCTCGGCAGAGCACTGCCATGGGAATGACAGTTGGGATACTTGTCCTATTCCCTGGGCTGCTGTGCTATTGTTGCCTCATAGAAAACACTCACCATCAATTGGGTCCATTCCATTTGCCGGAACTAGAGACTCAGCTTCTGTTGGAGAATCCGGAGCTTCCTCGGATTCCTGTAAACATACAGCAGAGGCACCCTGGTCAGAGTCAGGAGACCTGGGGCCCAGGCCTGATCCTGATTCCCAGACTTACAAGACTGCCCCTCTAAGATAAGCTTCCTGTCTCTGTTGCTTGAAGGTGCTTGATGTTGGTGGCCTAGTGCGGCATAAATGCTCACCTCAAGTGTTCTGTGACAAGTGGACAACCATATAAGCCTAATCAAGACCGAGTAGTCCCCCATCCTCTGGGGATTCCCTTCGGGCCAACATCTCTGCCCCAGGCTTCTTTAAAAAGCTCAGTTGGAGACTACAAAGAGAGCTTTGCAAAATCCAAGGTCAGGTTTGTATCAAGGCCTTACAGGTGTTTTAGTCAATAATATTAACACATACATCATCTGTCTAAGTATGGAAATGAAAACATTAATAGCATGGGGGCTGGCAGGGTATTTGGTACAACTGAATATTAAATTTGACCATTTAAGAGGTTTTTTAAATTTATGTTTATGTGGGTCTATGTGGATGTCTGTCATGTGTATGAGAGAGGGCGCTGCGGAGGCCAGAAGAAGATGTTAGGTCCTCTGGAAATAGAATTATAGGCAGTTGTGAGCCACACAGTGCAGGTGGTGGGGACTGAACCCAGGTCCTCTGAAGAGCGGCAAACACTTTTAACTGCTGAGCTAGCTCTCCAGTCCCTAAGTTTGGCTTTTTAAAAAACAACTTGGAGCTGGGCAGTGGTGAAACATGCCTTTAATCCCAGCACTGGGGAGGCAGAGGCAGGCAGATCTCTGTGAATTCGAGGCCAGCCTGGTCCATAACCGCTAGTTCCAGGACAGGCTCCAAAGCTAGAGAAACCCTGCCATGAAACAAACAAACAAACAAAACCATCTTGGAACCAAAGAATACTATTAATCCCAAACATGGGAGGAGAAAGATCACTGACCTAATTAAAATAAGCTTTTTTATTTGTGTACACAGGCTCCCTCACCCTAATACTGAGTTTGAGAGCTCAGCACTGGATGTGAGGGAGACAAAGCTTTACAAAAATCAGAGTAGGGGGTTTCCAAATGGGGATTTGGCAGACAAAATAGCTGGGTTTACAGGGGCAGAACATGAGCATAACAAGTTAGTCCTACACAGACTCCTGAAACAAAGACCCGGTTGTAAGCTGGGCATAACAAGGTAGTCATAACAACTGGTAGTCACAGGCGGTCATACAACCTTTTGAAACAGAGACATGATTACCATTCCTAGAACAGGCAGTACAGAGCCATTTGTAGTTGAGGTTACAGGTGGGGCATTGCCCAGTCCTTGAGAAACCGAGGTTTAATCATAAACAGAAACGAACCTAAAGACAACTTTACTATAAGATGGCTCAGAGGTTAAGACCAATGACTACTCTTCCAGATGTCCTGAGTTTAATTCCCAGCAACCACATGGTGGCTCACAACCATCTGTAATGAGATCTGGTGCCTTCTTTGGTGTGCAAGCATACATGCAGGCAGAACAGTACGCCATTATAAATATCTAAAACCTTTAAAAAAGATGGAGACAGACTGGTTCTTCAGAAACATCAATAACGAAAGAAATGTCTATATCAAACAGTCAGTGTCATTCACAACGGTAACACATTGGAAATCAACAGGTCCAACCAAGACCAAAACCATGCCCCTTTTTCTAACCACTGTTTTTCGTTTGTTTCGTTTTGCGGTGCTAGGGTTCAAACCCACAAAACTCTACATGTAATGCACAGACTCTGCTCGAAGCCACACCCCATCCTCCTAATAACTCTCCAGTACACAGTGGGAGGGGGAAAACACACAACACAAACCAACCAAGAGGTAGGATCCTTAGCAGGGAGAAGAAAAAAAGTCACTGTTTTGGACGTCTCTATGTTTACAAATCAAAGTTTAAATAATACTAAGAGGAAAGCATAACTTTGGGTGAATGTTTTAAAACAGAGTAGAAACAGTAAATTTAAAAATGGAACTAAGAGAATGGTGATGGTTTGAGTCAATATGACACAGTCTAGAGCCCCCTGGGAAGAATCCTCATGAGGAATTGTCTAAACTTAGTTAACAAAAGTGGGAAGACCCACCCTCAACGAGGGCAGTACCACTTTACGGGTTGGGCTATGAGCTGGATGAAAAGCAGGGGAGAGCTGAGTGTGAATATTCATCTCCTGTACTCTGAGTGTGACAGAGTGCAGCTCCTTCTCCCAGGCACCTGCTGCTGTGACTTCCGGCGAAGGCGGACTGTAACCTAGAGCTGTGAGCTGAAATAGGCCTTTTCTCTTTCTCAGGGTCACTCATCACAACAGGAAAAGACACTAAGACAAAGACCCAACTTATAAAGATGACAAAACAAACACACAGAACACAGCGCTGTCAAGAAATAGGATCCCATGTCTCTGGAGAAACATAAAACTTTACTATTTTAAGAAAAAAATCTTGTCTAAAATGTTGCCTCCTGTGATAAGAAAAAATATTGATTAACGGGCTGAAGAGATGACTCAGCAGTTACTACTTACTACCCTAAACAAGAACCAAAGTTCAGTCCCAGCACCTACAAAAGGCACCTCACAAATGCCTGGAACTCCAGCTCCCGGAGATCCAATGCCCCCACTCTGGCTTCTGCGGGCACCATGGGTGCATAAACACATAAAGTAAATCGTTTTTAAAAACTGAGTTTTTACAAGATCTCCATACCTACTAGATTAGTTTTTATATTTAATTAAAATTTATTACCATGTGTTCGTGTATGTGCGTGTGTGCAGGTGCCTGTGTCCCACAGTGTACGTATGAGGTCAGAGAACAACTCTTGGAAGCCAGTTCTCGCCTTCCACCTTACTGAGGGAAAATCTCTCTCGTTTCTGCCATATTGCATATTCCAGGATAGCTAGCCCACGGGTTTCTGGGCGTCTCCCGTCTCCACCTCTAATCTTGCTGTATGAATGACGAGGTTAGAGATCTGAACTAACATCTGGCTTTTTGTGGGTTCCACTGGTCAAACTTAGGGCATCAGGCTTTCGTGGCAGGTTCTTTTAGCCCTGAACAATCTTCTCCATGGCTCCTTTTAATATTTAAGACAAATTCAACACAAATTTCAATTATTGTTTTGGTCATGGAAAAAACCCTTATGAATGAATTCTAAATCGTATCTGGGTAAACTGACAAATTTTGAAAAAATAAATATCTGCTTATTTTAATACATCAGAAAACTTCATGTGCCGCTGACCATTGTGTGTATGTCTGTGAGTCTTTCATGTGATGATTTTGATGCAGTGTAAAAGCTGGAGAGATGGCTCAGCGGTTAAGGGCACTGCCTGCTCTTCCAAAGGTCCTGAGTTCAATTCCCAGTCAGCACATCATCTGTAATGGGGTCTGGTGCCCTCGTCTGGCCTGCAGGCATATATGCAGACAGAATATTGTATACATAATAAATAAAAAAAAATTAAAGAGTTTAAAGAAAAGATCTGAAGCAAATGAAATTACGCTCATCTCTCAGGCGGAGGTGGGGGCTGAGCAGCTCTCAGGACAGGGGTGAGCTGTGTGGTCTTCTTAGTACTCACTGAGCTCCTTCCTGTACAGTTTGCATCCTGTCACTTAAGCGGAGGGGCTACTGGCTGTTTTTAAATGTATTTCCCTTTCTCTTTATAAAATAAAAGCTGAACAGTGTTGTAAAAGTGAAACAGACTGGTCCAGGAGGAAGGAAGCCACTGTCAAGACGGACATCTGATTCGTGAGTGGAGAGGGACCAGGGGAATGGGGGGCTCAATATTTAAATGGAATTGAAAGAGTCACATGGTGACTAGGAACAATATCACATCACAAGATAAACTCCATCCAGATGACACAGAAATATGTGAAAAGTAGAGTCAGCAGGGACAAAAATCTCCCCAAGAAATCATAGGCTCATCTTACTTTGGGGGAAGGGTTTGGGGAGCCTATGAGTAACGGGAAACAAATGTATCTGTTGATTTTAATAGTTCAAAATGAAAGATTAGAACAAACTGAAGGATAAAAATTAGGAATATGGGGGCTGCGGAGATGGCTCAGTCAGTAAAGTGCTTGCCGCAGAAATATGAGGCCTGAGTCCCCATGCCTAATATGCAATGAAGCCCAGGCAGAGAGTTCCAGAGGATTTGACACCCCCTTATGACCCCTTAAGCTCTGAAAACACACAGGGTGCACATACATACATTCGGGCAAAATGCTCATACACATAACATAAAATTTAAAAAGCTTGTGTTGGGAGGGTAGATGTGCATGGTTGCCCGCACTTATGATTCAAGCATCAGGAAGGTGAGGACCAGGGAATCCCTGAGGCCTGCTGACCTGCCACTTCAGCTTGTGAGTTCCAGATCCAGGGAAAGATCCTGCCTCAGAACATAGCGAGGTGAAGAAGAGAAGTGAGGAAAACATTTGACGAAGACCTCTGGCCTCCACATGCTAATGCCTACATACATGTAAACACATACGAGCATATATGTGTAATATAAGAAACTAGAGACCTATTACCCACATGAGAGAAAATACTTACATAGCAAGCATTTTTTTTCCTTACAAAGCTCTTAATAACATTAGGATAACGTATGTGAAAATGCTTAAAACTACTCTGGAGGCTCAGACAGAAGGGCAAAGCTGAGGCCAGCCTGGGCAACTTAGGGATCTATTGTCTCAATAAAACGCTTTTGCAAAGTCACTGAGGGTGTAACTCAGCCGTGAAGTTTAGCATGTGTGAGGCGCCAATATGTCAAACAAAAATCAAACCCAAGATCTCAGCCCCTCTTGGCCACAGTATCTGCTCCATGTCCATGTTGCCCCAGGCTCTGAGGACACAGCATGGATATCACAGATACTCAGCATATTCTACAGAATGGCTCAGCCACCACACTTAGGCCATGTGCATCCTGTCCATTGTCACCCTGTCTCTCCATCCCCTGGACCAGAGGATCAGATGACAACGGCCACGTTGTCAACAATCCAGCACTGTCTCCAGGGACTCCTATCCCAGCCATTGTCTGTCCAATATATGCTCAAAAAGAGTGGACGGCCATTCTCTGCTGCTTAGGGGCTCAGCGTGACCATCTCCCTGAACTGCAGATCTTCCTGAGGGACCCAAGTGTGTGGAAATGGCTTTGAGAAGGCAAAGAGGCCACTCAGGAGCCCACACCCAAGGCCCTGTGCAGAGTCCCACCCATCTCAGTGCGGCCACCTTAGGCTCACAGAGCCATGACCTGCTGCTGGAACTTCGTGCTCTTATGACTGTGCCAAGGAGGCCACACTCCCGCCTGACCCCACACGCAGAAGCAGACAGAGTTGCAACATGGTCTGAGGCCTGTGGAAGCTCAAATAGCCTCTTGCGTGAAAGGAGACTCGGAGCCTCAATCACTTTAGTGAGCCAGGACGGCAACCCAGGACAGGTGGAGATGTACCCTTCTCTATGAGCTGTGCAGCCCCTCAAACACCCTGTTTCTCAGGGCTGGGGAGATGGCTCAGTGGCTAAGAGCACTGGCAGCTCTTCCAGAGGACCTGGGTTTGATTCCCAGAACTCAACTGGCTGTAAACTTTAGTTCCAGAGGATTCAATGTCCTCTTTTGGCCTCCATGATCACCAGGCATGCATGTGACACACAGACATGCATGTAGATAAAACACTCATATGCATAAAATTGAAAATTAAAATTAAAAAAAAAAACCCTCTGCTTCTCAGCAGAGCTACAACCTCTGAGGCCTTCACTGCAGGAGAGTCATTTTCCGGGTTGGATGTCCGCAGTTCCGTGAGAGGCACAGAATTTTCAGAGTGCTGTTCACGGCCTAGAAGAGAAGGAGGTTGCCATAGCCAGTGGGCAGGGAACTCATCAGCCCCCCCCCTTTTTTTTTATCAGAGCAGAGTGAGCAAAACACTCCAACACTGGATTGGGAGGGGTCATTCTTGCTTGGGGCTACCCTCAGGCCAAGGAGGCAGCTGGGGAGAAACTGAAGGAAAACACACACACAATCTCTGGTTCTGCAGGAACCAGAGCTGTCCCTGGCTCTCTCCTGTCCTAACTTTATCCTCAGTTGAGGAGTTGATGTCTACTCTCTCAGACTTGGTTAAAAGAGCAAGGGAACCATCAGTGAGATGGACTGGTAAGATTCCGGGCTTTTGTGGTTTGGGGGAAGTGGGAGATGGTATATCAATTGCAGGAGCAAAAGAGAGGTCTAGGCTTCAAGGACAATGGAGTTCAGGACACAGGGAGGGCAATTCTGAAGGAGAAGAGCAGGTTAGAGAGATTCAGATTTGGTGTCCAAGGGACCCACCACAGCCAACACTCACCTGGATAGGCTCTTTTCACCAACTGCAATGTTCGCCCCCATGCCCCAGATTTCCAGAAACCTGCAAGAAAAAGCAGCAGCAGCAGCCCCGCCACTACGAACCCTATGATGAGGCCTAAGTTGAGTTGAGAGTCTTTGGGGACACACATTCGGTTTGTTTTCGGGGTACAGGAAGTCTTTTCAGATTCTTCATCAGGGCACCTGGGCACAACAAGGAAGAAATAAGATTCTGTGAGAAAGCTGCTGGTCAGAAGTGGTGAAGGGGAGGCACTCACTCTACCCAGTGTCCCAGAGATGGTAGTAAAGGAAGGACAGGCTCCAAATTTGTCCCTACATCCGGACACACACAGTGTAGTCTTTGGGGGAACTTTCTGTAGGCATGGTGGCAACCTTTCTGCCTTTTCTGCAGGGTGTGTGCTGAGTGGCTCTGGGCCTCAGGAGGGCCTAAGTTAGGAAAGGGCCTGTGTGGTCACCGCTGAGCCATGTCCCTTTATCAGCCTTCAATAAGCAGACCTTTGTACCAGGTGGTCAGGGAAGAGTAAATGAACTATTTTCCTTCAAACTCCTGAAGTTGAGACAAGGGTTACTGACGGGATTGGGTCCTGGGGGCGAGGTTAGCTGAGTTGGGTCAGGTGCCTCTGAGAACCCCGGAGGAGGCCACACACACAGAGCCTCATTATGTGTTTTTTGGGCTTGCAGCACTTTCTTCTTCCTAGGGGTCTCAAGAATCTGAGGTGGTGTAAATACACACAAGCCAGGCTGTATGCTACTCACTCTCTTGCTGTATTCTATGGAGAGGGGACAAATTATCTGGCCAAGGGAAAAGAACGGGTGGAAAATTGAAGGGATTGGTGGTGGGGGACAGGAACACGGAGAGATTTACAGTTGGATGTGGAGAGACCACAGCGGGCTCAGAAGACCCCAAATGTTTGGGGATACCGCTGTCAGGGGGGCACGGGGCCGCTATAATGCGGGAATCCTAACACCTTGTAGCGTGGGTTCTCCATGGAGTTGGAAGGAAAGAAAAGGATACAAGAAAGCTTGAGTTTTCTGGGTTTCCTGGGATTGTAAAAGTTCCAGGGCCCAGTGACATACTTGGAGCACTTCTGGCAGAACTCAGGAGAGTTTTCATCTTTAAAGGTGCCTGGTTTGCACTGACACTTGGTGTCCTGAGTGGAGTTGCATCTCGCTATTTCATCTTCATCTGTAAGAATTTGAGGAATGAGGTTTCTTGGTTATCAGGGTAACACTTCCTTCTGACACAGTTCCTTCTGTTTCAGCTACAATGAACGTAGGAAGTAATAACGAGGGCCTGTTCCTATTACACCACAGCCAGGGCATGCAGATGATGGCTCCCAGGAGCATATTTGAGTACTCAGAGTTAAACCAAAGGAACACCATTCATGACCTCATGCATCGGATTTGGGAGGAATGTTCATTTAGATCATGAGGACAGGAGCAAGGGATGTACAGAGGGTGCTTTTCAATCTCCTGAAAACAGGAGAAGCTTGAAGAAGCCGGGACTGAGTGCTCACACCTACCAAGAGCTCAGAAACTAGAACAGGAGACCCTAGTCTAGAGCCAGCTGGGAACCCAGCAGGCCCCCACTCAGCCATTCCTTTCTTTGTTACAGACTAAGATGGTTAATCTCCTTTGTTATTTGATAAGATCTAGGATCAGCTGGGAGACAGCCTCTGGGCATGTCTGTGGAGATATTATCTTGGTTACACTAATTAGGTGGGAAGATTCCTACACACTGAGTGCTACCATTCTTGGACTAGGTTCCTGAACTATATAAACAGGAGAAAGTGAGCTGAGCACACAAATCTATTATTCTGAAAATGGGAGTTGAGCAGCTGCTTCAATCTCCTGCCCACCTCGACCTCACTGCAATGATGGATGGATGAACTGCCAGCCAGTTCAACCCTCTCTTCCTTTGGCTTTTGACAGAGCTTTTGTCTCAGCAAACAGGAAAAAACACTAAAACAATAGCCTACGACCTCCACACTTTAGCAGGCAGACAGCAGGAAAGATGAAAGCCCTTTGAAGTTTCTGTGGAAGGTTCTAGAAGGAGTGGTCTCAGGTCTCAGAGGACTGGAAAGCAGCCAATATTACGAAAAAAGCTGATGCATCCCTAGGGCAAGGATACATCATAACACGTCACTCATAGCTGGAGACTGACCACAGGGACAGAGGGGAGACTCTCAGTGGCTCTTTTCCTTTTGAACCTGGTGTTACATCCCATGACCCACACTTTTGACGTCAACTTCTAGAAAATGCAAAGCAGGAGACTACCATGGTAACTCAAGATTTTCTACTGGGTAGCAAACCCATTGCAGAGTTGAAGAGACTCATGCTGGACCCAGAATGGGATTAATGCCCTATTTCAAATATGCAGGGCTCTTTCCTCCTCAGCGCTGGAACTCTGGCTGAGATCTCCCTGGTCCACTTAAAATCCTGTATCTATCCTTCAAGGTCCATTTCTAACATCGTGTGCCCTGTGGAGCCCCGCCACTCCTCAGGACAAGTCCTGGAACAGCTGGCACCAGGGTGCTTCCTGTTCGTCAAGTTATATGTAGTGAGTGGTGCGGAGGTGGCAACTGCCCCATAATGCATCTGGGGGTACCAGGCCCTGCTCTCCACAGTGGCCGATTAGTTTCCACTTTATTCTCCACTGATGGTCCCAACGATTCCTAAAACACAGCACAAATTAATTCTCAAGGGTTTTTGATTTTTTTTGTTTTTAATTTTTGTCCCATTGAATTATGGACAGGTGGAGAACAGGGTGGGATAAAGAGCAAATTGTGCTGGAATTGAGATTTCTGAGTCCACAGCAGTTGTGAGTCCCACCTCCCCAGACTGCACTCGTGGGAAAGAGCCCCTTTGTTCTGTACCTGCTCTACAGATGTTGCACTTTATGCACGAAGGCAGACTGTTGGCGTGGCTGGTATACTCTATACCTTCCATGCAGGGCACGCAGCCATCCTCATCTGACAGGTAGGACCCTGAGGAGGGAAAGAAAGATGGTGAAGGGAACTTCAGGACATCCGGAGCTGCAGGGAAAACCTGTGTCCTAGTTAGAGGGACCTGGGAAGCGGGGGTCGCAATTGAGAAATTTGACTGTGGGCTTGTCTACAGAGCATTTTCTCTGCCCACCCTGCCCTGCCTATGCTGCCAAAGACAGATGTTCACAGTTTCAGGGCTCTCTTACCTGCACCTGCCCTACAGGTTGGCTCTATTGTGCTGCCCGGGCAAGGTCCAAGGCCTGGAGGCAGCTTGGCAGCTTCTTTAGGAAGCTTATCTCTGCAGTGGCGCTCACGGGCATAGGGAGCAGCCAGAGCCTGCAAGGTTGTAATGAATGGGGCCACTCTAAAGAGACACTTGGGACCTCTACCTTTGATTATACAACTATTGAGACACCATGGTCCAACAAACTGAAAGTATTGTACTGGGGAAAGAAGAAGGATGAAACCCATGGCTGGGTGGAGATAGAAACTTGTAAGGAAAGAGATTTGCAACTTGTCAGACCACCTTGCAGGACTGAATAGGGCCAAAACAGGAATGGGTCAATAATTCTGGTAGTTGGAGAGATGGCTCAGTGGTTAAGAGCACTGGTTGCTCTTCCAGAGGACCCAGGTTCAATTCCCAGCACCTACATGGCAGCTCACAGCTGTGTGTAACTCCAGTTCCAGTGGATTTGGCACCCTTGCACAGAGATACATTCAGGCAAAAAACCAATGTACATAAAAATAAACAAATCATTAAAAAATATGAAAATAAAGTAACATAAAACTTAATCCTAGACTTCACATCAAAGATGGGTCTGGGTTCACTTAGACCCTTTGTCTGTTTCCACTATGGCCACAATGGAAAAATCTCCTTTCTTCTAACTTCCAGTATCAATCAATGGCTCTTTTGATTGGCAAAATTACTGAGGATGATGGTAGAGCCTGCCTTGCTAGGACTTCCAGAACTCAGACTTCGACCTTGATAATTCCGGTATAGGACCAGGCTTGGAGCCACCTAAGGTTCCAAGGAAAGTTAAGATGTGTGAAGAGAATGCGAACACAGCTGCTTTGTACGGTTCCATGACTGTAGCATCCCCAGAAATCACACAGTGCAATAAGTGGACAGTAACTGAGTAGCAGAGCTAGGGCTCCAGGTCTATGGTAATGTGCTCATCTGGCATCAGTGAGGCCCTGGGTTAGATCTAGAAGAAAAACGAAAGGAAAGCTGGGCAATGGTGGCGCACGCCTTTAATCCCAGCACTCGGGAGGCAGAGGCAGGCGGATCTCTGTGAGTTCAAGACCAGCCTGGTCTAAAGAGCTAGTTCCAGGACAGGAACCAAAGCCACAGAGAAACCATGTCTCGAAAAACAAAACAAAACAAAAAAAAAAAAAAAGAAAGGAAAGGAAAGGAAAGAAAGAAAAGAGAAAGGAACTGGATAGCCCAATATAAAAAGGAAAGTGGACCCTTACCTGATACTGCATATAAACACCTAAATAGAAGCATAGAAATTCCCAAACTCATAGAAACATGAAGATGAATCTTCATGACCTTGGATTTAGAAAATATCAATATCTATGGCATAAAGGAAATCAGAACTGAAAAGACCAGAAGACTGAAAGAATATGGAGCTGTGGGGGGGAGGGGTCATGGCCAAAGACTGGCAATCAATGTAGAATGCACCTGGTTGACATTTTCCTTCTGATGGGCTCTGCTGCACATTCTGGAGGTCAGCTGGGTGATGATGGACTGACTTGGCTAGCACTCCGCAGAAGACGCTCTGTAGAAACAAAGAAGGAACTGCCTTTAGTGGCTGCTCTGTAGAAACAAAGAAGGAACTGCCTTTAATGGCTGTGGGCCTTACCAACATGGGGCCATCTCACATTCCCTTCCCTCCAGCTTCTAAAACGACATGGATCTCAGGACTCCCTCCCTTCTAAACTGTCCAGTACTTTTGTGTTCCTATTCCTCTTTGCTCCTTGCAGCTGCCCAAGTCCTATAAACTTAAACTCCTCTTCTCTCTTTTATTCTTTCCTGTTGAAACAAGTTACGTTTGTATCCGTATAGTAGAAAATTAGAGGAAAGCCTTTAAAAATTACAGTTTGTCAACTAGAAATGACACGCATCCTCTAATATACTGTCTTGTTTCCCATGTAACTACTTAATCATATGAGTGACTCTTCTCTCTCTCTCTCTCTCCCTCTCTCTCTCTCTCTCTCTCTCTCTCTCTTTCTCTCTCTCTCTCTCTCTCTCTCTCTCTCTCTCACACACACACACACACACACACACACACACACACGGGGGGGAGGGGAGGTTTTTAAAATGCAGTTAAGAACCGAGGAGATGGTTCAGCGGATAATACACTTGCCACACAAACATGAGGACCTGGACTCAGATTCCCAAAACTCATATAAAGCCAAGCAACAATTGCACACATCTGAAATCCCAGGGTTCCTGGCTCTAGATGGGAGGAGGAGATGGAGAACCCCTAGAAGCTCATGGGACAGCAAGCAGCACACTCAATGGAGAACAAGAGAGATCCTGCCTCAAAGAGGTAGGTAAGGGCTGACACGGGAGGCTGCCCTCACACAAACTCATTGAATGTGCACACACACTGAGGCTTTTTTAAAATTGATTTTTATTGAGCTCTACAATTTTCTCTGCTCCCCTCCCTGTTCCTCTCCTCCCCCTTCAACCCTCCCCCAGGATCCCCATGCTCCCAATTTACTCAGGAGATCTTGTCTTTTTCTACTTCCCATGTAGATTAGATCTATGTAAGTCTCTCTTAGGGTCCTCATTGTTGTCTAAGTTCTCTGGGATTGTGGTTTGTAGGCTGGTTTTCTTTGCTTTATGTTTAAAAACCACCTATGAGTGAGTACATGTGATAACTGTCTTTCTGTGTCTGGGTTACCAAACTCAAAATAATGTTTTCTAGCTCCATCCATTTTCCTGCAAAATTCAAGATGTCGTTATTTTTTTCTGCTCACACAGAGTTTTTTAAAAATGCATTTACGTATACATACATCTACATCTAGGCCAGCATTCACATTGTCATGTAAACAAATCCAGAATTCTTTTCATCTTGCAAAACTGAAAGTCGGTACCCGTTAAAATAGCAAACCGCTTGCTCCTCCATCCGCCTTTCCATGCTGGCAACCATTGCTCTGCTTCTCTTCTCTTCTCCTTCCTTCCTTCCTTCCTTCCTTCTTTCCTTCCTTTTTCCAAGTAGCTAAAAAAAACATTACCAAAAGTAGCTGAAAGCCAAGAGAGTACGGAAGACATGGTTCTTACGCAGGGCTGCCTGGCTCTAACCGAACATGTCCTAACCTTGATTCCTACTTTTATTCTTTTATCAGACACAGGCGTGTTCCACCTCAACAGTGAAGTATTAAAATAGAAGGTGGAGCACTGTAACCAGCCTGGCAAAAATGAATATAAATGTATGTGTGTCTGAAGAGACACTTGTGTGACTCTCTGACTATTAGAAATTAGAATCGGTGGACTCCAAGGAACTGGAATTCCCCCTCAGTAATCTCGTGCTAGCAGACAGCAAAAGTCCAGATTCTTGCCCTACGGGCCCTTTTACTCCTTTTAAATCAATAAATTGCTGAGCCAAATAAACAATGGTGTCACACTGTAAATGAGCTCACACGTTCTTGCAGCTAAAGTCAAAATCAGGCACTTTTCTCTCCTAGCCTTGAGAAGAGAGGTGTCAGAGGCCCGCTCCAGCAGCTAGGCAGGGTCAACCCTCCAGCCCGTTTCTAAATTCTTTCTGCCCCGTGGGTTCTGCAGGGTAACCGGGTTCTTTTCCCCTGCCCCAGCTAGTCCCAGGTATGGTGCTCTGGTGAGTTTCACTGAGTTGGCTGGGTCCTTTCTTCCCACCTCTCTGCGCTGCCCCCCACCCCCGCCCGCCTTGGTCTTTCTCCCTCAGCCTGCGCCCAGTCTCCTACCTAATGTCAGATCCTTCCTTCCACCTTTGGGTTCCCTCACTTACCATCCTCTCCCCAGCGGAGCGCAGCCTTGTCATATCCTCCCCAATCAAGAGTCCTTTGCCCACCTCTTCCACACCCTGCCTGACCCCATCTTGGGGTTCCCCACCGCCAACCAACCATCGGACCTTCCACCTTTCACCGTCGAGTTCTCCCTCCTCCACAGTGGTGTCCCCCAACGATGTCAGACCTCCTTCCACCCCGCGCGCCATAGGGCACGTGCGCTCCAGCCGCAGGCACTTATTGCAACTCCCTGCTTCCTGCTCTGGGACCCGGCATGGCGCTCTCAGCGGGCATGGCGCTCTCAGCGGGCGCGGCTCTCTCAGCGGGTTCGGCGCTCTCAGCGGGCGCGGCGCTCTCCCCGGGCGATACTCACCAGTAGCAGGACGATGGCGGCTGGTAACCTGCGCATCTTTGGGACCCTAGGCCGAGGTCTGCGACCCGGGAGTGGCATGGGACCTGGGGTGCGACCTGCCCAGGCCGCAGAGGCTGAGGGAGCACAGTTTAAAGGAGACTTCTTGGAGTAAGGGTTGCTCTGATTCTGGATCCCGCGGCTTCTCAAAATCCACGAAGAGCTGTTTCCTCAGCTCAGAAAAGTTCTCTGAATTCCCGTCCTACAGCATCCTACTTGGCGGGAGCTGTCTGCTCTAGCTCCTCGGTTAATGGAAAACTTTCTAGAAGTTTTTGTGGGAGGAGCTAAATATCATCTGATTCCTTTCCTGAAGCCCAGGAGCACAGCTGTGAGTCACCACCTTTTATTTATTTATTTATTTTTTTAAAGTATCATGGTATTTTCATTGTAGTTTTCAAGTCATGGATATGTCCACGATTATAAAACCTCATAATACTCAATTGTTTGCCTGCCCCTTCATACTCTGCCTAATACTATGACTGTCACCCTAGTAACAGAAGATAAATCTGTGCTTCTATACCATTTAGAACACTATTTGTACCACCAAGGAAAGCCTGAGTTCACTGGCCACCTGCCCCTTGCTGCCTGCAGACGAGCTGCTCAAACTGGACAACATAGAGCTGGTGGTAGGAACACCTGCCTGCGCCCTCCATGTCCAACTGCTCAGTTAGAAGACATTTGAGTTCCAGCCTCTGCCCCTGCAGGAGCTGACTCAGAAGGTGGCTACTATGGTCAGGCCTCTTCCTCCTCCTTTCTTCTACCTTTTCTTCCTCCTCTTCTTTCTTCCTCCTTCTCCTCTTCTTGAATTTGTTATATATATATATTTCCTATGCTTTCAAGCTATATCAGAGAACCCAGAACAGGAAATAATAGACTAGATGCTGTTGCTGGGCCCTGGTGATGCACTTCAATGCCAGCACAAGCAAAGGCAGGTAGACCTTTTGAGTCTGAGGTCAGCTTGGTCTACAGAGTCAGTTCGAAGACAGCCAGGACTACACAGAGAAACCCTGTCTCAAAACCACACACACACACAGACACACACACAACACACTGAATGGCCTCATCTGTTTACATCAGTGTATTGAAACTTAATTTGTGCATTTTGACAATTTCAATATATATTGAATATATCAAACATATATTGAATACTATATATATCAGGCATAGTGATGTCTTTAATCCCAGTACTCAGGCAGAGGCAGGTAAATCTCTGTGAGTTTGAGGCTATCCTGGTCTACACAGTGAGTTCCAGGACAGCCAGAGCTATGTATTCAGACCCTGTCTTGAAAAACAACAACGACAACAACAACAAAAAAAGATAACAAGAGTTAGAGTTTCCATCTGCCGCAGGCCTTCAGATCTCCAGCACAGGACATCACTGATCAAACTTCTTCACATCTGTTTCAGCTCGCTTCTTAAGCCACAACCCCAAACAAAATTTGTTTGGGGGGGGGGGGGATGATGAATGTGTCTCAAGGAAGTGTGTTGCCTAAAGCCTGAGATGATTCAGTAAGGTTTCTGGTCCCCAAATAAAGTATTTAGTTTATTAAGAATCTGTAACTTTTGGAGCTCAGTGTGGTGGTATACTCTTCAATCCCAGCACTTAGGAGGCAGAGTCAAGTGGGTCTCTGTGACTCTGATGCCAGCCCATTCTACATAGCGAGTTCCAAGACAGCCAGAGCTACATAATAGAGAAACACTGTCTGGAAAAATAAAGAAAATCTGACTTCTCTCAGATCACTCAGCTTCTCCTTGATTGGCTCAAATAATGTTAGCTTTACAAGAAGCAGCTCCCAGTACTGTTGGGAGACACTGTACCCTATTGGTCTCTCCTAGGTGTTCTTGGTCCATGCTGTCAGGATTAAGACAGAGCCATGAGTCACCCACTTTTGAGTCAATGGAGACATTCGCTGCAGAGAACAGCAAAGAGGAAGAAGACCGAGTAGGGGTGTGTTTATAACAGGACAGAGATGGCAGGAAACACAAGCCCTGATTCACAAGACAGTGACAGTGCTTACGCTGTTTGATTACCCTTGGAAGTCAAGTCTACTGTCAACGATGAGGTGGGGAGATTTTGTATCCAATACCATATACCAATGGTCCTCAGCCTGTGGGTCGTGACCCCTTTGGGGGTTTAACAACCCTTTCACAGGGGTCACCTAAGACCATCAGAAATATGAGATATTTGCATTTTGACTCATAACAGTAGCAAAATTTAAGTTAGGAAGTAGCAATGAAAATAATTTTCTGGTTTGGGGGTCACAACATGAGGAACTGCATTAAAGGGCTGCAGCATTAGGAGGGTTAAGAACCACTGCTCTATGGACCATGCTACCTCCTTCCCTTTGGCATATCTGGCATGTTTTATTAGCGTAGTGTCCTCTGGGTCCATCCATGTGCTGGTGAATGATAGAATTCCTTCTTTTTATAGGGTGGACAAGAGCAAACTTATCTTTAAACAACAGTTTTGGTGATCTGATCTGAGTCTGAACCTGAGACCAAGATTTCTGGTTTTAAGAGTTCTACTTTTTGTTTGTGCAGAGCCTCCACAATCTTTCCAATAACTGCACACATTTCCATCCCCAACAAACACCCTCTCCCCGACAATACCATTCCATCCCTCCCTTCCATAATCACCACCTCACGAGGTACCACATACACTTTGTAAATGTTTTCTGAAACACTTGGATGCTATTACTGGTGAAACTTGTTCCCATTCTGTTGCTTTGGAATTGCTTGCTACATCCTCATATAAATATTACCGAGTTTTGTCCACTGGTCAAGGAGTCTGTAATCTTGTTACAATTGTATATTATGACCTCCTTATAGATTATTTAGAGTTCTATGTGTAGGCAATCATTTTATTTGTAACTAAAAAAAAATCTTAGTTCTTCTTTTCCAATCTTTAATGCCTTTTAATTATAGTTCTTACTTAATTGCCCTGGCTGGGATTGCCTCTTAGTGCCCCATTCAATGTTTAGAAAAGCTAACATGTTTGTCTTATTCTCAGCCTTGGAAGGAAAGTATCAAAAATCAAAATTAAATATTATTATCTGAGTACATTCCTTCTAGTGAGATTTCTGGGTCCTTTGAGGTGATATTTGTGGTAGTTTTAATATTTTTTTTATCACATTTAGTTTATTTGTGTGTGTGTTGCACACACACATGCACATGCCACTGGGTAATGTGCAGAAGATGGTTTTCACCAACCATCATGTGGATGCATAGGTCCAAACTGAGGTTATTAGGCCTGGAGACAGAGTTATTAGCCACCCAGTTATATCTATATCTATATATCTATATCTATATAATAGATACCATTTTCAAACTTTTCAAACTCCCTTCCACTCCTAGTTTGTTAAGAACTCTTATGAATGACAGTTGGAATTTATCAGGTGAACTTTTTTTTTTTTGTATCTGTGGAGGTGATCTTATGGTTTTTCTCTTTCCTACTGTTAAATAATTTGAGGACTTTCAGATGTTGCACGTTGCTTGAATTCTTGGACTACATTTGTCATATTTTTATATTCAAAGTTATTTTATTGCTCGTGTACACAGGAGAATTTATGGCACTAAATCAGAGACTTTGGATGACCCATGGTTCTGATTGCGTGGGAGGACCCACTTAGTCTTACAATAACGAGCCAGCCGGTGAATATCGGCTCTATATTCTCTACAATTCTCTTTATCAGAATTGGGCGGAATTTAGCATCCTTAAGCTTTCTGTTCCTCTCAAGATGCATCAACTGCTTTCTTAATCAGATGTTAGAGATTCTCAAGGAAATAGGGGTAAGGCCTTTGGACCCAAGGATTCTCAAGGTTTTATTACCACTCACAAAAAACGGGCCTGTGCTACACCATGTAAGTCTCTCAGGATCACGCCTATTTGGGAGGGAGTGAAGTCTTTTTTGGCCAGTTTGTAAATCTGTTCCTTCACGTTGTCAGATTCAGCCACATGTGGACGCTAAGGGGGTAGGGCAGCGCTGCCTGGGACAGGCCCTTACCGGGAGCATGCATGTGACCCTTGATGGCAGCAGGTCTGGCAGCAAAGAGTTGGCATAACTTTTTTTGTACATATTGGTAGATTTGATTTGGTAATGTCTTCGTGTCTGGACTGACAAGGGATATCAGCCCATCCGTTTTTTTTTTTTTTTCTGTATTGACTTTGTACAGTTCAGATTTCATTAACCACCCTGGATTTAGAAAATAAACTCAAGTTTCTGGGGGAAATTGTATAAGAATAGTTGATATTTCTTTCTTAAATGGTTGACAGCATTCAACAGTAGCATCACTCATATTTTCCCGCTCTTTTTAAAATAAATCTTATTTTATTTCATATGTAGGTATGAATGCCTCCATATATGTAAGTGAATTGTATGCATGCCTGGTGCACGCGGACACCTAAGAGGGCATTAGATTTCCTAGAACTGGAGAGCAGTGGTGGGCTGACTTGTGGGTGCTGGGAACCAAGCCTGAGTCCCCTGCAAGAACAGCACGTGCTCTTAACTGCCGACCAGCTAGCATATTTTGTATTTTTTAGGCTTTTTTTAAATAAAAAAACATTTTAAAAACACTGTATTGTTTTATTTTATATGTATTGGTGTTCTGCCTGCATGTATGTCTGTGTAAAATCCCCTGGAGCTGGAGTTACAGACAATTGTGAGCTGCCATGTGGGTGGAGGCTGGGAACTGAACCCTGGTCCTCTGGAAGAGCAGCAGGCAGTGCTCTTAACCGCTGAGTCTGTTATAGCAAGTGAACATTTTTAAGGTATTTATCTCCTTTAGCAGGGCTCTAATTTCATGATATAAAGCAGCCTGTAAAGCTCTTGAACACTGGTCATAATAGTGGTAGCCAGTCTCTAAAATTCTGATTTTTTGTATTATTTGGTTTTTCTCTTTTTTTTTTAAATGAACTTTGCTAAGGGTTACTAAATTGTCTTACTCTTTTCTTTATAATTTTAAAAACACTTTAATTTTATGTGTACAGGTGTCCTGACTGCATATGACTGGGTGCCATATGCACACGAGGCTTGAGGTGGGCAGAGGGCATCTGATCTCCTGACAGTGGAATTGCAGATGGTTGTGAGCTGCCATGGTAGTGCTGGGATTCCAACCCAGGTCCTCCCAAAGAGCAGCCAGTATTCTTAACTGCTGAGCCTTCTCTCCCGCCCTTTTCTTACTCTTTTCAGTAAATATACTATCTAGATTAGTGTGACTGAT